CAGCAGGGCCCAGAGGAGCAGCTCCTCTCCAGGAACGTTCTTAGTCTGAAAATAGCTGTGAGAGAAATAGCAGAGGTAGAGGCTGGGCAGAGCCAAGCCGAAGCAAGGAGCTTTGTGGATTGTTTTGTCTCTGCAGCATCTACAGATCACATGCAGTGGCCTTGTACGAGTGTGTGTGTGCGGCTGGGAGCAGAGATGTGCTCTGTGCATAAGTAATGTGCATTCAGCACTTTTTCCTGTGTGAAGGCTATTTGCATATTTGTTTGTGTGTGCAGCAGTGAATTTGTCTCCCTCTACACTATATTAGCTCCTCTGTTTATACAGAAGGTGGCACAGACCTAGGCCTGTCTGAGAGCCTGCAGTCTGCAGCTCTTCCATTGGCACTGATCTTGCGTTACATCTATGTCTCGGGGCTGAGCAGTGGTTAGCACTAACATGTGTTAGGGAGGTAGTAGAACTGATGGAATTCTACACTTGGCAGCCTTCCAGGCAGAGCTGGTATGTGTTTAAAATACTTTCAAGGAACAAAACATGCTTTTGTTGTTTTCTGGGCCAAGTGGGACTGTTTTTGTCTCTGATGGCCCTCAGGGGGCCCAGGGGAGAGCACCGGAAGCTGGTGACATTCCTAAAAGAAGGTGTACCATCAGTGTGCCTTCCCCAGTCAACCACCTCTCCACTACCACTGACACAACTGCTACTGCTCTGAACATATAAAACACGTACTCACACGCTCGCGCACTGACACATACACACTAGTTATTAAGACATAGCTGTTGTGGTGCAGGCTTCTTATTTCCACAGTGTGTTCATTAGCTGCCTGGTTTTACACTTAATGACAGGAAAGACTCCTGTTTGTACTGAGCACCCTAATTTGTCATTGCTTTATAGAGAAAAACATGGCCCTGTTGCTTTGCACCACATTCTGAATATTTTGTCTTATAATATTGTACAGCAGTAAAGACAAAAAGGAAGGAGCTACTGAAATTATCCACAGACACAGACTTTTATGAGGTGGAATACAAAAATGTGCCATTGAAATTACTGATGCGTAAACAGTGGCAGCTCACACTAGTGAAGAAAGAAAAAACAGAAAACATTGGAATTATCTCCACACACTCTCTGTCACATGGCGTACACAAACTGCACCCCCTGATAAAAGAAGTAGAGGCACGTCTTTTGCATTGCTTTATTAAAAATTCAGTTAATGAGGAAGCTTTGTCAGCGCGCATAGAACAAATGAATGTGAGACAGCGGCAGTGTGCTCGGCACACTCCCAGCCACAGGAGGTGTGCTCGGTGTTTGTGCGAGAGGGAGAAAGGTGTTTTGTAAACATCTCATTCTGCATAATGAATGCAGTCCTCTGTCATCCTCAGCCTCAGTCACACTCAGTATTAGTGGCTCCCTCACCTGTCACACTCTCCTCCCTTTGGCTCAGCGGCTGCTTGTTGACATGTAAACAGGAAGTCCCCTGTGCTGTCATTTACATTCTGTGTATGTCAGGACACCTCCACTTCCTCTGGGCTGTGCTCAGGTCTGTGCTCGAAGGGCTGATTAGCCCACTGGGACTGTTAGCCTATTTGGTTGTTTGCCAAAACTAATCCCTAACAATTAACCGTGGCCACTCTGGAGAGATGCCATATTGACAAGGACGGCCCACTCTGCCCGGCGCCACACATATGCCACTTGCTATGGCACAAGCGACTTGTAGCTTATAAAACGGTTATAACACATAGTGTCTGTTATGACGCATGATTATAAAAGTGTTTATCAGCAGCTCTGTAAAGTCTCACATGAGTGCATCGCTGACCCACCGACAGTGTGTTTGTGTGTTTGAATATGCATTACACAGCCTGCGCCTGGCAGGAGTCAAAGTGCTTCTTTAAAAGTTCATAAATCATGGATGCTCTGGCCTGTGATCAGCAGACCGCCTGCATTTGAGGCCTGCCGAGCCCAGAGAGAGACCGACAGCCTCTAGTTTAGGTCTTAAACAAACCCTCTGGAATGTGCTGATGGGGACAGAATTAATATTAGGCCTGAACCTATCTGGCATCCTGACTCAACCCCAACTCTATCATAACTCTCAAGCAAAAACATTCCCAAAAAGTAGAAGTTTGCCATTGAAATGATGCTACTGCAGGCCGCCTTTACATATGTTGGAAAGCAGAAATGTCACATTTCTAACATGATTTAATGACCTGCATTTGTGTCAGACAATCATTTTTATATATTTCGATACTAAATGAAAGTTTGTTATAATTGCTTCTAGGCTGCCTTACATTGCGCAGATATCATTTGTCTAGTGAAATTAGCGCTCATATCTGGCAGAATGTTGTTGAAATGATTGCAGAGTGGATTCCAGACATGATCGAATTGAAGCAGAACAAATAGCTCAAAGCAGTGAAAAACACTGCTCTTCTCTAGTGGAGTGATTGACAAGGTTAATGAGAATGAGTAGAGAGAACAGTGGGCCTTTTATGTGCTCTGAGAGTTTTGCATTTATAAAAGGCCACAATGGGTTAATGACAAATGAACAACAAAGAAAATGTGACGATTTTAATGAGAAGACAGTGCTAGACACCTTTCTCTGAATATGTTTGCATGTGCACGTGCATGTGTGTGGTTTCCAGAGGGGAGCAAAGGGGGTGAGGGAAAAGAAGAGAAAGAAAAAAGGAGGCAAAGAAAGAGGGAGTGAGGGAGGCCTCCTTTCACAGAGAAACAAAGATAGGTGTAATTAATGGCCCTGAGCTCTGGACTCGGGGAGCTTTCTTCTGACAACTCCGACTTAATTAAAACTTAAGACTTCTGAAAGGGCCTCTGACTGCGAGGGGACGTCCCACCGTCTCGTGAGAAAAAGCTCGTAAGATTTCCGACAAAAGGGGGAAAAAAAGAAGGGGAGAGACAGAGTTGGAGAAAAGATGTGTTAGCGGCTGTAGCTATATTGCTAATCCCTGTTTGTGAAAGGAGGAGGGGCGGGAGGAGGGCTGAACTCACACACCTGCAGTTAGTAACCGGGCCCCCTCCCCTCACCGCATCCCTCTTCCCCAAAACAAACGCATTTTTCTCTGCTCCGTGCGACTGCAAAAATATGACCCTTTCATATCCTGTAGGAATGACGTTTTCTAGCTTGAGCGCAAGAGCAGTAATAATGTTTATTAAAGCTGCGGTCACTTTTTTCCCCTTATAAATAATACATTGTGTTTGTCCCGAGCGAGAGAGTCTGGTCAAAGTAAAAATGAACAAATCAGACCACAACTTGCTTGGAAGACATGTTATCATTTGCCAAACTGTAAGAAAAAACTATTTGATGTTTTGGGTTAAGAACTTGACAGTGGCCCACCCTATTTTTTTCACTTTTCCGTCTGAAAAATATGTGAAAACGATGACAGAACCAAACCACTTTGAGAGCAAGGAAATAGTTTGATAGATTTGTTTTTTTCGATACATATTTCCATTTTGTTGTTGTTTGAAAGTTAGGTACCCCAGCTTTAATACATGCACAGAAGCACACCTGTTTCTCACATGGGTCGCTGAATACGTCGGAACAAAAACACAAACTAACATTTCATAAGCCACCTCTGTCTATAGCCGCTTTTCATAGCCTCCCTCCCTCAGCTGGCCTCTCCACACAGGATCAGATAATAAAAAGCTGGCCTGCTCTTTTGTTTTTGTGCATTGTTCATTAGCCCGGCAGCAACAACAGAGGCACACTTGATATGCTTGGCTTGACTGGGTGTATGGGAGGATAGGGGTAAGGTGGGATGGGGAAAAAAGTGGGAGGGGGGGTTGTGTGCGTCTGCATGTGTCCACAGGCCTATACGCGGAGGGTAGGCGAAGAGAGGTAGGGGGTAGCTTTGCATGGCTGCGATGCCATTAAAGAGGCAACTGGAAATTAAGGGGGCTTGCAACTGACAGCACACGTTGAATGAGAAAACCCCTGCAGCTGCAGAACAATAGGCAGAGCTGGACAATGTGTGCTTAAAGACAAAAACGGGATTCTAGGTCTAAGCCTCTTTCTCTGACTTTTGTTACGGTTTGATCTCTGTGTCACTTTAAACCTATCTAGTTAATTTGGGAAAGTGTAACGCTGGGGCTCAGGCTTATTGTTCTTTTTGCAATAAAAAAGTATTTTTTCATAACATCAGTAGTATTCATGTAGGAATATACACAGTGGTTTTTAATGGTGGTGCCCTAGTGTTATTTGAAGTTTGTTGTCACTTTTGTATTGAAAGAATAAGAGAATAACATTTCCAGTTTTCAGTTCATCGCGACATTTTTTTTCTATTATATGTTGAAATATGTCATGTGGTAGCCGTGATAGCTGCAGCCATAACAGTGGTACTCCTGCAATTGCAATCCAGGTTTTGTCCATTGGGTCCCATTCTACAAAAGCTATGGCTTTGATGTGTCTTAGCTTTAAAGCTAGAGTGACTAACTTCTCAAACCACAAATGAAAAATGGAATTAGGTCATACAATAAAATCTATCTAATTATTTATTCACTCTCACAACAGTTTTCACATGCAGGTATTTTTGGCCTTGTCATGTCTTAAGATCAGCTTTTCTTTGGACAGAAGTGTGAATCATCCAATCAGCTCTCAGCCCAAAGCATCAAATAGTGATTTTTTACGAGAATGTAAAATATAAAAAAAATTCTAATGAAAGGAAGAGAGGACGGCATGTTGTGTTTTCGACTTCGTTCACAAAATGTATCTTTCGGTTTGGCTAAACAACATGTATTATGAAAGAAACAGTTAGGTAAGGTAGCTTTGAATAACCATATGATATTGAGTTTGGATCTATTATAATCAATTAAATTCAATGTCTTGTATATCCCTAAATCACAACAGCAGTAATCTTGGAGGATTTTACACAACCGTTGAATTCACCAACACAGATCAGAGAATCACATCGGTATTGGTCCATTAGGGGCAGATGACCAATGTCCATAAATGTTGTTGAATGTTGAGTGACCTAAACAATTGCCCTTGTCTTTTCCCACAGTACTTGCAGAAGCAGGACAGCGCCTTCAGCCCAGAATCGTGCATATACCACTGCACGCTTTGTGACTACTCGACCAAGGCCCGGCTCAACCTGGTGCAGCACGCTCGCTCGGCCCGACACCAGCAGAGTGAAGGCCTGAGGAAACTGCAGCTCCACCAGCAGGGCTTGAGCGGCGAGGACGAGCTCAGCCTCCAAGAGCTCTTCCACGTCAAAGAGAACCTCAACCAAGGTCAGTGTGCAGTGTGTTCACCTGCGATGTTATGTCTGGGAATCGGCGCTCGTAAGAAAAGGTCTGCGCCGCCGTGTTTGTGGGGTAATTTCATGCTTGAGTTTGTCTGTGGATGATGTTGAGGTGGATAGTTTTTCTTTCATTTAGTTTTATAATTGATCTCTACTAGTAGTTCTTATCATTCCCCCGCCCACCACCACTGCCAATTCTAGTGCATATCTATGGATTTGGCCTTTTAGATTTGTATTCATCAATGCGTGGCGCTGGCATATAAAGCGCAGTTAAAGCTGGGGAACCTAACTCTCAGACCTTAAGCCATAGAACTCTGTAATAACAGTTGTCTTGACTATTTGCTAGATCTTTAAACAGTTTGGTTCCATTACTAGTTTTCACACGCACGCGTTTTTGGCCTCTCATCACCTCACCTCAGATCCTCTTTTTAGACAGAAAAGTGAATAAGAATGCACCAGTCTCAGTCAGCCAATCAGCTCAAAGCGTCAACTAGTGACTCCCAGGGCAAGGATTAAAAATACATACTGTTTTCTAATAAGATAAAGACAACAGGCTCTGGTCTTATGTATTCTCCAAATGTTAATAAGAATATAAGTAGCTTCTATGTTTCTTAGCTAGCTTCAATGTCAATATTTTGATATATCTCTATCTATATATACAGTGCAAAGTTATATGCATATGTGGCAAGACTCTTTCTCCTGGGAAAAAAAACAATATTTACAAAACAAAAAAGTTAGGCATCTCAGCTTTAATTGTAAACACTTCTCGTGGCTGGATTTCTTTATTTACCACCATGTCCACTAATTCTGTTATGTTATGTCAAAAGCCTTAGCCCCCCCTTTCGTCTACCCTGGCCTTCAAAACCAGATCAACTCCCTTGATAGAGCCCAGCGCATTCGTCCTAATCTCTCCAAAATGAGCATACTGTTCCTATTATGCCTCCACTCTTCCACAAACACACACACTGTCCCGTACACAGGGACATCCCAGGCAGGGCAGGCAGGCAGGCAGTTTATGAAATTTCACCTTGGGAGGATCTGAGTGAAAAAGGTCTATAGCCATAAGCACATACACACACTAAGGCTACACAGTGTCTCCCTGGAGTGAGCTTTCATTTCCTTTCTCATGACCAAAGCAATTTGGCTTTCATTTAAGAGTCTCGGCCCTGCCAGCAGCTAATAAGTGTAACAGAACTGTAAAACATTCAGAGACAAAAAAAAGGAAGAAAAAAAAAAGATTCATCGTTTTTGTGTGTATGAGTGGGGGGTGCGTGGTTGGTGAGGGGTTGCAGGGTGTAAGCACGCTGTAATTCAAACCAGAAGACGGAGAGGCAGGGTCCATTATTTAGTCATCCCTATGTTAATGCAGCCGGGAGAAAATGAGCGCTTAACTTGTTTTTGCTTTGCTTGACCTGAAGGAGCGGGTGGGGCGGGCTGTGGGAGTGGGGAGAAGGGGATTCCACTTTTTAAATAGCATTCCAGCCTCGCATTAGTCCATACATCGCTCTTTTCTCTCCCTCTTTCGTGATGTGTAGAATGATTCCGCTGCTGCTAAAGAGTCCTGTTTATGCTACACATGCACTCCCAGCGCAGATGGAGGCCAGTGCTCAGAACCATATGTGAAGGGCTGGAGCAAGAGCGGCTCCCAAACCTGAAACGGAGTAGGTTAGCGGTGTGCGTTTGGTTTTAATTACACCGGGATCAAAGTTTCTCCCAAAAATTCGGGGAGCAGAAAAGCGAGCTTAGATAAATCATTACTGTACCAATTTACCAAACCCCCCTCCTTCCACAGTGTGCTATTTGTATCATTCTCCCATTCCTCTTTCTCTCTCCTTTTTTGTCCTTCTTCCACCCTCCGTGTATCCACTTTTGTTTTTTTTTTTTATCTAGAATACAAGCCTTTTCCCCCAGTCGTTTTACATTGGAGAGTAGCAGCCAGGTTTTTAACTTGTCAGAAGCAATAGCCCCCCTTTTGCTCATTTTAAAAGTTCCACTCATAAATTACATGGTATTTGTTGTCCAGTTTTGAGTTTTATATCTTGGCTTTGATGCCACATGGTAAATTTCCATGAGGAAGTGAGAGTTAAGCTTAAATGGACACTGGCAAAGCCCTCTGTTCAAAGCCACAAGTTTGGATGGCCTCTCGTTGCCCAGCCTATATAACTTTTAAGGAACAACAGTATCCTTTCACTCGTTCAAGTTACATTTTTAAAAGGTGTTTCCACATCCACTCCAGGATTCGGAAAGTCCATAACACTGAATTATGTTAATCACATCAAACGCCAATGCTGATTGTAATACATCCTGTTTTTTAAGATTAATCCTTGATCCTTTATTTGTTCCACAGTGGGGAAATGTCAGTGTTGCATCAGCAGTTGCACAACAGTAGGAATGAGTATAGCACACAGCACAAGATAAATGAACAATAACTCAATACTAAATAGAATAAAAATCAAACTCTAGCATTTAGAAGAAACAAGTATAAAAACTCTGACTTTAGCATAATTAAGAATAATCTTGCATAATCTCTACATTTGGCATAATAAGAAGCAAGTATAAAGTACTGTACATTCTAGTGCAAGTATTATATAGTTGTTTGTTTACATCTGTACATGTTAGCAGCATGAGGGTCTGGGACACAGTGACTAAGTAGAGCAACAGTGGACACATGTGGTTCTATATTGCACATTCTGACGTTAGTTCAAGATATTGCACCGATGCATGAGATGTGAGGCAGTGTCTGTTTGTGTTTATTGTACACTTAATGCATTGTTTTGGTGTGAATAGTCTAGTGATTACTCAAAAGGTTATGTAAGGTATGTACAAGATGGTAGATTGCTCTGGGCACTGAGGAATGATGCTTTCAATGGTGTTAAAGTCCCTATAGTAGGCAACATTGCAGCTACAGTGTGTATGTGTATGCATGCTGTTAGTTTTCTTAGGCTACAACTCCTGACTCGAGCACTTTCTGTTCATTAGAGACTGGTATGAAAAAGATTAATTTAAGTGCTGACCGGTATCTTTCTCTTAAAGCCCAGGACCTGGCACTGAGCCAGATAATTATAGGCCCATTTGGGAATAAGAGTTCTAATGCTCTGGACTTTATGTACATGTGAATGGCTTTCATTAAACAATTTTGATGCTGACTTTATGGCCTAATTAAGGATACAGTGCAGCAGAGACGCACCACAAGGGTATAGGTGTTTTCAACAAAGAGAGAGTGCAACTTTGTGTCGGCTTCATTGTTTGCATGTCAATGTGTTTGTGCGTTTATTTAGGAACATTTTGAGTGTACACTTGGTCCAGTCATTTCATCATTTACACTGAACAAACACGACTAGCCGACAACATTGGACTGTACTCTGGCACAGACGGCTACTTTGGCCCTTTTTGAGTTGTGTCCCTCACAGACAAACAGCCCACTGTGCCAAAAACTTGATAAATTGTCTGTCCATGTGTGCAAATTCAACTGGTCAAGAAAATTTAGTTTATAAAAAAAGGCCAGTTTGCATCTGAGGACCAAGTATAAATGAAGTGGCTCTCAACATGAAGCACTGGGAAGCCATTTCTCTTTGAGGGTTGTCCAAAAGTTATTAGTTTGCTTGTGTGTGTGTGTGTGTGTATGGGATTGTGTGTATGTGTTGCATCACTTGGAAATTAAACCCTGAATAAAACGATTTAGTAAAAGAGAAATATGACAGACGTGTGTGCCATCTCCAATTTTTTTATTAAGACAATTTGTATTTCAATTCGTTAACAGCGTGTGAAGAGCAGTTGTTCCAGTGATTTCGTCCCTGACTGTTTCTCTGTGAAGCATCGGTGCATTGGCTGAGGGCATTAAGGGTCTGTGTGTGTGAGAGTGTATTTCTGCCCATTAGCCCTGTACTCAGTCATGTGTAAAGATCCTCATAAGCCACATCAGGCAGAAACACTGGCTTTTCTGCATACTTTACTTTGTGTCATTTTCGTCTCCCCTCTCCGCCCTTGCTAAAGAAAAAGCAAGATGGGATCTTATGGAGGTAATTATTTCTAAAAGCCAGGACTTGTCATGCATCGCTCCAGCACCCCACCACCCACTGCCCCCCTGCCCATGCATTAGAGAGGGTGGGGGGCACGTCTTTGTCTGAGTCCCTGTTTTTAAACAAAAGACCTCTTCTGACTTCCATAGACCAACAACACTTTTATCCTGCTGTATATGAGGCCCTCTCTGGATATATATCTTTTGTTTTTCTGAGTGATAAGGCTTGGGGACATTTTTGGTTCAAATTAGTGCAGTATAGTGCTAACCATTTACATAGCAGCTGTAGGCTAGATTCTAGGCCTAATGGACACTTATTATCTGTATATGTACAGCACAGGGATATGGATGCGTGAGCTTCATTCAGGCACTTAATGATGAAGATAAGCGTGCCTTGTTTTTCATCTAAGAGCAATGACATCTCCTGTTTCCAATGGAACTCTCTAAGTCCAAGACTCCAAGAAATACTGTTTCAAGCCTTCTCACACATTTTTTGTAATGTTGCGGTTTTATCATCCCAACATTTTTGTCTTTTTAAAGACCGTCAGACAGACTATTCTTGGGTAGTCTCAGTAATTTGTGGCCCTTACATAAACATTCATGGATGACCATGAGCTCTTGCTGACTGCTGGAGAATAGACCGTGTAGTGACCATTTTATAGTCGGTCTCGGAAAGCAGTAGGTGAAACAAGCTCATTATTCCTGTCACACTTTCCCCTATAGCTCAAGAACCTCTGGTTTCTAGATACAAATGCTTTGGCCTGTCTTTAATAAGCCAATTATACTCCATATTGATTCTTTATATACACATTATTACCTACATTTATTTCAAGAATTATTTGTGACCTTTTGCTCTCATTCACTGTGCAGCAGGACACAGTTCAGGTCCACACTATGGAGCCAGATGGGATCCATTTGTCGCTTAATAGAAAGTAGGAATGGTCTAAACATAGCCCCAGCATCAGTAAAAC